CGGTAGTAGGCTTCCAAAGGACAATAAAAAGTCCAAGGCCAGCTCCGCTAAACCGGACCTCTCGTCTAAACTCGGAGACAATGGCAAGCTCACGCCACAAGAGCGTAAGCGTCATCTCGATGAGAAACTTTGTATGTTCTATGGTCAGTCTGGCCACATGGTCAAGGACTGTCCCAAGTCTTCTTCTCATGCGTCTAAGGCCCGTTCGGCCCAGACTGAGGAGCAAGGATCTGCTTCCGCATGCAGAAGCAAAAAATTAGTCCGCACCCCTGTGGACTCTGCAGGGACTGGGGGTTGCGATCCTTCCTTCCGTGCACTCAAAGAAGTGCATTTAAACGTGTCTTCCATTTCCGACTTATCCTCCCTCCACATTCCCGTTTCCTTTTCTCTTTCAAATGGTCTATTTTCTCCTCTTAATGTTGACCCTTCGGTTAATGTTCTACCTGTTGTAGATAGTGTTGCTGATGTACCACTCTCTCCTCCACCCCCTCTGACTACTTCCATAGATTGATCCACCTCTCTCCGCTTCTCTTCTTTCTCTTCCCCTGTTTCTCCTCTGTCCAATATTGGGACACAAAATAAACTTTTCCGCTCCTATGAGAACATACCTGCACTCGTAGATTCTGGGTCTTCGGACTGCTTCATTGACGACACATTTGTAAAAAAAGTTGGCCTTGAAGACATACCAGATTAAACCCCTACAACTATGCCTATTCAACGGTAGCACCAACTCAATCATAACCCATGCCGTTGATATTCCCCTCCACTTCGCTTCCAGAAACATCACCCCCACGACTTTCTTTGTCACATCGCTGGATGGATCATGTTCCCTAGTCCTAGGACACAACTGGCTTACCTGCTACAATCCGTTGATTGACTGGGTCTCAAGCAGTATTACGTTCCGAACTTCCGAACCTACCAAGACAGTTACTCCGAGCTCTCCCCCGTCGTCTCCGGCACCACTGCCGTCGTCCGACATCCAACCATCTGATGTTTCGCCAGCACCTCAGTCACAGGCTGTTACTCCTCCGTTACCATCTATCAAGTTCGTCAGCCGTTATGCATTTGCAAAAGCTTGTCGACTTGAAGGATCGGTATCCTTCAGCCTAACCATCCCTTCCGAGGAAAGCCGCTTGAGGGCTGCCTCATCCCACACCGATTCTGTTGACCTCTTGGCCGTTCCGAAGGAGTATCACGAGTTCGCGGATGTGTTCAGTAAGAGCAAAGCCTCGACGCTGGCACCGCACCGTGAGCATGACCTAAAGATTGACCTTGAGGAAGGCACTTCACCACCCTTGGGTACCATGTACTCTCTCTCTACTTCGGAACTCGAGGCCCTCCAGGCGTTCTTAGATGAACACCTGGCCTCCGGGTTCATTCGCCCTGCTACTTCTGCTCACGCAGCACCGGTCCTCTTTGTCCACAAGAAGGACGGATCCCTCCGTATTTGCGTCGACTTCCGAGGGCTAAACAAGATCACCAAAATGGATCGCTACCCACTTCCCCACATCTCCGACCTCCTTGACGCACCTAGCCATGCCACGGTCTACACCAGACTCGACCTCCGGCATGCTTACCACCTGGTTCGCATTGCAGCAGGCGACAAATGGAAGACCTCCTTCTGCATGCGCTATGGTTCCTATGAGTGGCTTGTCATGCCATTTGGTCTCACAAATGCACCTGTGGCTTTCCAGCGATTCGTCAACACAATCTTTGCCGACCTCTTGGACGTTTCTGTGGTAGTCTACCTAGACGACATCCTTACCTACTCGGAAGACATGGCTTCACATCAGGAGCATGTCCGAGAAGTTCTTAGGAGACTCCGCAAACACAGCCTATACGCCAATCCGAAGAAATGCGAGTTTCATATGGACACTACGGAATATCTCGGTTACTGCCTCTCTACTCACCATGTCCATCGAGAAGGTCAAAGCCATCCAAGATTGGCCCAAGCCCCATAAAGTCAAGGATGTCCAATCCTTCCTTGGCTTCACTAACTTCTATCAGCATTTCATTCACCAATACTCCGACATTGTGGTCCCCTTGACATGCCTCACATGTAAAGGAGCCCCCTGGCTATTCTCTGACAATTGTCGCTCTGCTTTCAACACCTTGAAAGAAGCCTTCTGTCAGGGCACACCCCACCTGACCCTGCGCTGCGCCGCCCTACTCCACTTCCCCACTATCACCCTTTGTCTCTTCTTCCCCCTTTTCCTTCTTTCTTTCTATTTCCTTCGATGGTCGACTTCCCCTTCTCTATGTATTACTAACACACCTAACCCCGCTCCCCTGATCGCCGCACCCGCTGCGCGCATTCCCACTCACAGAGTGGCACACCTCCAGGATCTCCCACGGAGATACCCAGGGGAGTGCGGCTGTGTGTGGGGATGATGTGGCTCCTCCCATGTGACCCTGACCGCATGTATATAATAGCACCTGGGGTGGGAACAGAAGAAGCAGCCTTCTTCTCAACTTCCCACTTCAGACTAAGTGGTCGGGGACGCTCACCCCACAACGGGACCGTCGCTACGCATAGCCGACACCTGTCCCATCAAGTCCCTTGCGCCGGGACCTCGCCGCTTTCGGAGCTGTCCCTGACACCTTCACTTCCGCTCCTATCCTCACACATTGGCTACCCGATGCCCCCCTCATTGTAGAAACTGACACCTCCAATTACACGATCTCCATGTCAGGGCCCGGCCCTCGTTCCGTGACAGGCCCAGGGGGGTCCTCCTAGTCGCTGGGGTATCTAGTCCCAGTCCAAGATCTTCGAACTCACTGAGGGGGCTAGCCCCAGCCTTCACAGGAAATGAGTTGCTGTGCAGTTAGGGAGAAGGTAGTTACACTTGCCTTCACAGGAAATGAGTTGAGAAGAAGGGTAACCTTCTCAACCTCCTGTGAAGCCGCTACAAATGGGAGTCGGGAACTATACAGTTTTCGGCTCTTTGCCGACTTTCCATAATTGGCACCCCCCCGTGGGAAGATTCTGGGCGAGCTGCTCGCCCAGAAAGTTCCCACGGTTGTGGCTGTGATGGTTTCTGGGCAAGTAACTCGCCCAGAACGTTCCCACGGGTCTGCATGCATGCGGGATTGTGGAACAGTAAAGGGAAAAATAGGAGAAAATGGGGGGAGGGTACCTGAGGGTGTGTGGGGTCAGGGGCTGTGCCCTGACACTCCGGAATCCTTTCCATTCGCTGTGATGACGGAGAGATTCGCCCCATCGCTTTCCGCTCTAGAACACTCTCGGTGCTGGAGCTCAATTATGACACCCATGACAAGGAACTGCTCGCCATTCATGATGCGTTCCGATCATGGCGTCATTACCTCGAAGGTTCAGGAACCCCAATCGACGTCGTCACCGACCACAAGAACCTCGAGTATTTCTCCACCACCAAACTCTTGACCCAGTGGCAAGCCTGCTGGTCGGAGTTCCTCTCCCAATTCCACATGACTGTCCGATTCCGTCCCGGAAGACTCGGAGTTAAACCAGATGCGTTGACTAGACGCTGGGACGTCTATCCCAAAGAAGGGGATTGTCAGGGACAGCTCCGAAAGCGGCGAGGTCCCGGGGTGCGGGACTTGGGGGGACGGATAGCGGCTATGCATAGCAGCGATCCCATTGTGGGGTGAGCGTCCCTGACCACTTAGTCTGAAGTGGAAATGTGAGTCATCATTAAAAGGGAAGGCTACACTACTTGCCTGAAGTGAAAATGTGAGAAGAAGGCTACTTCTTCGGTTCCCACTCCAGCTGTTATTATATACATGCATGAATGATCACGTGGGGTGCGCCACGTGTAACGGGGATTTGCTGGTGTACCATAAACAAGCCAAATCCCGCGATTCTACCACCCTTAGCCAATGTTCCCTCCTACATATTTTTTATTTTTCCTGATTTTTCTGATTCCATTTCTAGTCACTAGAGCCTAATGTTTCCCTGTCTCATTGTTCTTTCCTTATTTGTCTTTTCGGACTCTTCCGTGATACCGTGACCGACTGTATAGTCAGCTAGACAGTGAGGAGTAGCGGAATCCACTCCCGGTTAACAAACCTGTGCATGCGACCACTCCAACCCTCCCCCTCTCTTCTGTCTCGAGTCTAGTGGTGATAGACCCATTACAAATCTGGTGGTCCTTACAGGGGGGATAATCCACTTTGTCAGGTTTTCAATCACGCAAGTTTGCACAGTTCATTCGTTTGGAAATTCATCATTTTGCCGTGGATATCGAGTATCTACATTGGTTACAGACGCAGGTCAAGAAAGTACAAGTATTAGGGATCACACTAGACCACCCAAGCTACACACGCACGCACGCACGTTGTTCCTCCTGGCGGACCTCGAGACAAGGCACAGGAGATCGTATTTGATTGCTCAAGTTTAGTTCACTCCTGGTGGATCTCAAGAAGAGGCACAGGAGCCCGTGTTAGGGATCTACGCGTTACGGATCCACACGGTTACGCAAGTTTACACAAGTAATCTCAATCATTGCCTCCTGGCGGACCTCAAGACGAGGCACAGGAGTTCATTTTCACCGCTCAAGTCGTCCCGTGCTGTTTCACCTAAAAATTGTACCAAATTGCCTTCATCTTACCGGGCGATACACTCGTTTTATCCACATTCCTTCAATTGCCGGACATCAATAGACAGACGTCCAGAAGTCGTTCCAAGTCTTGCGTGTTTTGTTAACCGATTTCGAGATGGCTGCAAGTCCTGCCATCACAATGCCCATGTTTTATATCGAAGCCCCATTGATGCCAGGTCGCCGAAGCCCAGAAGCACCCCGGTTCAAGGGCAAAATGATTACCAAGTTTTTATGCGAGTTTGAGTTGTTGGCCGACATTGCTTCCCTTACAGACGCAGGCAAGTGCGCCTACATGATCACCTATTGCACCGAGAAGGAAGCCGAATTTGTCCGGACCCTCGCCGGTTTCGAGACCCAGAACTGGCCCGTGCTCAAGTCAGAGCTATTGTGCTACTACAGTGCCGATGAAGACGAGCCCATATATCGAACGGAGGATCTACGAAAGTTTGTCAAGGAAGCCCGCAAGATGAAAAGGGTAGACCATCTTGCACGGTACCGGCGCGAGTTCCATGTTATTGCGAAGTGCCTACAGAAAAGGAATGCCCTTACTGTCGTTGACCGCGATGATTTGTTTTACCGTGGATTTCCGTCAAAGTTCAGACGGGAGCTCAAGTACAAACTCAGGGCTCAAGATCTTTGGTCAGACCTGACCCGACCACCGCACATGAATGATGTTGTAGCCGTTGCACAGGAGCTGCTCCGAGGCGACCTATATGATGTTGACTTCACTGTGAAGTCCGAACGACGCCCATGTTCCAGAAAGGACAGTGGCGATGAGCCAGTCGATGACTTGGCGGACCGTGGAAGTGACAATGCAAGCTTGCATCAGATGGCTGAAAGCCCGGCGGATCTGAAGCCAGTGGCCGAACGATATGAAGCGCCGCACCTAGAGGGCTCAGTTCCCCATGAGGAAGCCTTGCCACCACGTAGGCATATCCCAGCGCTCCAAGAATGGGTGGATGATGAAAGCCGCAAGACGATGTTGATGCATGTTGCATATCCCAGTTGCGATGTCCCCGAGTCCAAGTTGTGCAAAGTCCCGGCAGTTCCCTTAGTGGAGCGGGTGCCAGTTGGTGTTGAAGTCGAAATCGAAATCAGAAATGCGGCGCTTCCAACTGAATCAAGTCACGTTCACACCCTTGAAGCCGAGCCGATCGTTGTACCTACCCATGAATCAGGTTCCAGCGCTGAGAGCCTAGGGGCGGGCACTTATGACCAACTAGAGAGTTCTGTCGAAGTACCGGAGCTAGAAGCGAAAGAGCTTAGGCCTATCGGCCTTGAACGCATCTCAGATCGGGCTGAGACCGCCCATACGTGCTCAAGCAAAGCCAGACTGCCTCAGCCAACAGAGGTGATAGCGCGCGCTGACAAGAAAGAGCTGAATGACTCAAGTGCGACGACTTTGAACTCACGACCTTTTGGCCCGTCCCCGGTCTTAGACTTAACTCAGGATCTGGAATGGCGACAATCCGATATGACTCCTAGTGACCCTACGGCGGCCATTGAGCCTCGATATCATGGTCCAGATGCCCTTGTGACAAGGATTGAGCCTGGAGTGTTGCTCACTGCATTCAAGAATGCGACCAAATCCGATCTCACCTCAGAGTCTGAGTTGGACCTTGCAGTTGTGCATGATGCGAATGGACATTCGCTTCCAGACGATTGTTGTCGTCCATCGTACGAGCCAATGGAGTGTGTTCCAGCGCCTGATCACAGCCAGAGCCCCGCGCATCGCAGAATAAGCGCCAAGTTAGCCAAGGTGGCTAAGATATTCCAGTTTGACCCCGGGATCGAGTCCAACCCATCCAGAACCGTCAGAGAGGCACCCATCGATGCCTACCGGTTAGTTTCGAGTCACGTCGCATGTCATTCCGAGGATAGCCAAAGTTCTGAGCTGCGAAAGCTGCACGGACATTTCGAGATTGAGCAAAATCATGCACTGAGGAAAACCCGCGATGAGGGGCACATGAGTTCAGTGCTGTCCAGTACATCAGCATCTCAGGCAGTCGACCCGACTGTAGCAGTCGTCGATTTTGAGCTCCCAGACAATCTACCATATGCAGAGACCGGAGCGATGCAAAAACAGGAAGCTGAGCCAAACCTTGAGTTTAAAGCCGAGCCTGTCCCAGAACGAGTGATAGAGTTGCCGAAAATCGAGTCGAATGGGCCAGCCAGCGTCTTAGAGTTGCCCCGCATGCGCAATAGCATTGAGTTCAACGATTTGAGCAGAGAAGAAGTCGAAATTTCGGATGTGGAAGCATTGAGTCCCGCGCGCTACGGTGATGCGTTCCCCCATGGGTTAGCCAAGACTGTTCACAATGAAGGAAGTCCCAAGACATGCCGATTAGTTGAGCAGCATGCCAACAAAGAGCATACCACTGTTACTTTCGATCGCGATGAAACTCTGGTGCATAGCTGTGACGAGTCCGAAGTGCCTTACTACGACACAGAGTACTTCAGGGATGTGTTCAAAATCGCTGACTCAACCGAAGACTTCACTTGGGATTCTGGATATGAATCCGACGACACCGCAGTTGAGGCTGAGCGCGCCAGACTCATTATCTTACACGAAGCCGTTCTTGCCTTTGTGCCACACGAAAAACGAGCTCATGATTTGATTCATGACTATGCTATCATACATCATGGTTACATCGTGACAAATGGTTCTACTGTCAATTGCACTGCCAGCAATGATCCCAGCAAGAAAGCGCTGGAGCATCCTTGTTCATCTGATGCGATTGACGATGGATATGAATGCCCACCCGAGAAAGACCCAGACAAGGTCTCAGGCACGAATCAGAGTGCGGGGGCCCGAGTACGCAAGTCCGAATTGACTCAAGTGGTCGATTACATGTCAGCCGCCGAGTTCCAGGTTGACCCACACCCGCTAGAAATGCTAGGGCGCTCTCCCATCGTTCAAGGAGACACTGTAGTCGTCAGAGAGACCACAGACATGGCATCCGAGTTAAGCAAGCAAGACGTCGAGCCTAAAGAGCTTAGGCCTCACGGCCTCGATCCAAACGCGATTACAGACTATGTTGAATACATGGTGGCTTTGAAGGTCGGGGACGCGAGTGCGGACCACGCATTGGAGTTTTTCCGCCAGTCAGAGGATCCTCATCCAGGGAGACCGAACATGTATATTGTGATTCCGCGGGTACGAGAGCATGAGGTCAAAGAGCTGAGGCCTCCTGGCCTCAGCGACGAGCTCATCAGCGAAGTTCCAGATGAGGGAGCTGTTGAGGCCACGCGAGTTCCGGCCTTGGATCGTGAGATTACCGTGAACGACAAGCGTCCAACTCGAACCAGGGAGTCCGGGGTCGAGTCGCGAGTCGTTTGGATAGCGAATACGGAGTTGTGTGCCAAAGCAAGTGAGATCAGTAACAGCCCACACGAGTCAGCGATGGGAGTGAAAACGAGACATACCGTTGTTCCTAATCCCCCTATTCGACCGTTGGATCTCCAAGAGGCGGCATGCGCGGAAAAGAAGAGGTCGAGGCGGTGCGAAGTTGCTGGATGTTGGATATGGACTCGGAGACTTGACGAAGTCCAGAACGGTCAGAACAGATCGGATCGAGACATCAGCGGCCAAGTTGGCACCCTGGAACAGGTTTTGTGGCCTGGAACGACGGACTATGGGACGAGTGTCGAGTGTTCCGCAAACGTTGACAAAGATCGCAGGCGTGTTTCAGACAAGACGCCATCAGTGAGCCGAGAGGTCACAGATAAAGAGTCCAGGCCTCCCTATCGCTCAAGTGCGCATACGAGCCACTCCAAGCCTCGGCTGGACTTAGAACCGAAGTGTCGGCGCCACACGTCCGAAGTGCTGAGACTTACTTCAGCAGCGCTGCTGGATGAGCTTCATATCGCGGCTATTGATGTAGGCGAACATGCGTCCAGAGTGTGGAGGAAGAAGCCTCCCTGATGATGTTAGTCCCCAGGATTTGTGGATTGAGCACGATGCTGCTGGTTTCATTTAGGATATCGTGAGGGACCACGATTAAGAGCTAGGCCTGTATGTAACGGGGATTTGCCGGTGTACCATAAACGAGCCAAATCCCGCGATTCCACCATGCTCAACAAACTCCCCACATCCTAGACACATAGCATGCACTCTCACACGTTTCTTATACACACTCCTTATTTTTCCTTATTTTTCTGATTTCATTTCCGGTGTCTAGAGGCCGATGTTTCCATTTTCTTATTGTCATGTGATACTCTTTCCTTATTTATCTATCGGACTCTTCCGTGACTGCTGTACAGTTTGGTAGAGAGTATCAGCACCAGACTCACCTGGACCAATATACCCCACTTCAGACCTGACCCTCAGTGAGATCCTTATCCCCCCTCTTTCCTGTCACGAGTCTAGTTGGATAGACCCGTTACAACGTCACCCTTGCACACAGCCATGGCTCTCCGGTTATCTGAGGAGCACCTTATCTGAAGGAGCGGAGCTGGATCACCTTATGTAACCAGTTTCCTACATCCAATAATGACATTAGAGTTTGTGCTGATTTGCATACTGACCGTGTTTTGGTTGCCAAATATATAATTGTTCACTGTCTAAACAACAATAAACACCCCCCAACGATCTCACCTGACGTATAGATCATCTATGGATAAAATTCTATATTGACTTTACTATGATTTCTAGTCAATATTACACCTAGATATACCACTTTTCAGTAGGATGTGATTTTCCTGATAATTTACTGAAGGAAAACTACTAATAAAATAATTCCACAATAAATGTTACTCAATACAGGAGTGACCAAACTGCTCTTTCTATCGCTTAGAGTGCATGCTAGCTATCTAGCAGGTTCAGGATCGCTCACTTTTCTCCTGTGGTGTGATAACCAAGTATTGCTGAGAGGTTATTCAATTAAGAAGTCCCTCCACCAAATATTTGCTTTTATCTTTTGGAGCAAACAAACCAACCACTGGTGAGGAGAATTAAACTTTTATTTCTACCTGAGGTTTGAGAGGGGGCAGAAGTGGTGGCCTTTTATGCTTTTCAGAGGCCTCTCTACTCCCACGCCTCGCACTAGTTACATGTGCTACATTTGTATTATAGATAGTTCTAGAATGATATAGGGGCTTGGGCTGTGTAAGCTTAATAATGGACTGTCAGGGTTCAGCACCCTGCCCTAGGGTGCCCCAGACTCCCCAACCAATCCCTTCCTTCCATTCCTTCATTGTTGCCTTGTTGTTGCCTTTCTGTGTTGTGTATCCGCGCGCACGGGATAGCGTGGGAACTTTCTGAGCGAGCAGCTTGCCCAGAATGTTCCCACAGGTCACAGCCACAGTTCTGGGCAAGCAACTCGCCCAGAACGTTCCCACGCTTGGCACTGCCACCTGGATGTTCCCTCTGGGTCACACTACACAACTCTAAGAGCTGTATAGTTGTGGGCATGTGACCCATTCCTTTATATAGCAACCATGCAGGGAGATGAGACCTTTACCCTTCTTCTCATCTCATGCCCCGCATAGGCAAGTGTATATATTATCTTTCCTTTTACTATACATCTCATGCCCCGCATAGTGTGAGGACAGGTTAGATGGGGGTTGAGGTCAGGGAGCCTCCGAGTCCGAGGCCGGGCCCTGACATGGACTTAGGACATGACTCAGCAATAAGTAATTCATTTCTTTGTCTTTTGGACCGATCTTAGCAGGGTCTTGTAGCGCTGAAGCTATGCTCTACACTGCCTTAATTATGAACGGTTATCTTTAGAAATGACTCAGCTATAAAGGAACTTTCTAGACTTTCACCCCTTTTTGTGAAGCTGCATCATTACTAATGTTCTAGAGCTTTCCCAATTAATTAACTGATCCACGGACTTCTGAATCACTTCATGCTTATAATCTGAGATCCAGATCATCAATCATTCCTTTGTTCCGATTTATTTGAGCTTAAATCAAAAAGTTTTGATGAATCATGGGAAAATATACAAGATCCAGTTTTTTAGCATTTTCTCCTCTTCTGATGCGATCAAAAACTGTCCGCCCATGCCGGGGAATACTCTGTTATATGGTATTCGGTCAGCCAGACTTCCGGGTGCCAATATATTTCCCTTGAGTCACATTACTTTTTATAAGAATTAGCAAATAAATATATATGAATTATAAGGTGTTTCGCCATTTGAGCGATATCTCCGTCAGTTTTGAAGCTTTTAGAATGAAACAAAACCGTGGATAAAGTTTAGAAACATTCCCTTCAGATGATAAAAAGATTACAGTCAAAGGTTTACTGGTTCCCGAGATATTCACATTTCTTTCCCAATGTTCCTTCTTATTCTGCTGTCTATGTGCTATTTTCTTGTTGTAGGGATATATTCTTTGAATATTACACCTATGCCAGGTTCTAGGCATGCTTGTAGTAGATTAAATCTCATGCTACATGGGTGTAGATAATTTATAATGATCTTCTAATGTCTGTCCAGTCTCATAAAGATCATGAGATCTGTTAAACATCTGAAGTTCGTTGACTATTCTGATAGATCATTGTTTTATTCTTTGAATATTATTTCTCCTACACCGGTACGCTCCTCGGAGTGCCAAGTTACCATTAGCACACCTGGCCTCAGATCTCCTCCTGCTCTCCCTTCAATGGCTACACAGCCACCTCCATCCATGAGCAGAACAGCTCAGGTTGGGTTCCCTGGAACCCATTCCTGTAACACTGAGTATGGACATTGAGGGATGGAAAGGAGTACTAAGACAAATAGCTAGAAATCTAAAACACCATAGCATGGCAATTACAGCCCCTCTGATAATGGAAAATGATGGAGAATGATGGTGCTCAGCTTGAACATGGTTCAATCATTAAAATGTCCATCTAATTACCCATCCTTCCATATACATAATCTTCAGTCTACATAATACCATTATTCAGTTAATTCTAATATAGTTTACAACCTAAGGATGATGTGTTTTGAGGGTGAGGATGGTGTGGACAGGATTGAGATGAATATTGCTTATGTAAGCATCACCAGGCTCTAACCTGGTTTGCAAGGTGACTTCCCCATACCGATGGTTGAAGCATGTGACTTAATAGTTAGTTGACTAACTTGAGGCACATGATGCTAGGTTGGTCATGGCAACCACCTCCACACACAGCTGTCTGTTGCTTCTCTCCTGGTTGCCACACGTAGTTGACTGACTTGGAGGCACCTGACCCCAACTCGAGCTCGGTTGATCGTGGTGATTGCCTGATGATGATATGGCAGCATTTGATGTTGCTAGCTGTCTGATGCAACACTCATTTGAGGACCCTGGCATGCTGGTATATGGGCCACTCGACCTCGCCATGCACCTGCATCCTTGATAACCCACTGACCCACTTCTAGATGTATTCTTCAATGTTTCTGCAATGGGATGTTGTCCCATCTGCTCTGCATGAGTCAGGACAGGAGTGACCCACATTTCGTGAATTTCTCAAATAGATTTTCCCTTTTTTTTTCCAGTTGTTTCTGTTAATATGTACAAAATGCTAGCTCCATGTGTTCAGTGCCATTTGGCCATTGCAGTCGTGCTCATGCATTAATTGACCCACATCAAATTGGGCTATTCAGTTTGCAAGGGAAGTTATAAAACTATTACAGTTGTCGACTTCAGCTGATTCCCTTTTCCTGCCACTTCCATCTTTGCAGACGCCTGAGATTACATCGAGCATTTGGCACTCCAGTACTTACTTTGCATCACTTGCAGCACTTCAGTAGTGTCCATGGCATCGACATTTGAGCCATCCTCTGTCAAGGTTTTGCTTGCAAATGCGCTGACTAATAAAACTGGTTGTTCAAAATCCTTGGCTGACTGGGACAAGGAGGTATGTTCCCTTTTCCCTTTTCAATGTGATGTTTACCTTCTCACCACCACTTTCCATGATGCTGTGTATGCTGACAAGGCCCACTCCTCCTCTGCCCTCTCAGCAGCAGATAACGTTGAACGATGGGTTCTAGCACTCTAAGGTCATGCTAAGCAAGAGAGGCAATCGTCCATCATGCAGCCACTATCCTCATCCACGCTAGTGCAGTTCACATTCATCGCCCATGCAACTCAATATGTCAGGGACATCAGTCAGCTCCTTGGGACCACGAAAAGGCCCAGGCATGCCTCACTTCCAGACAATGTCCCACTCCTGGGTCCCTGCTTTGTCCCTCCCATGCCACATCTTTTTTCCAAGCACCACAAGGTCCCGCTCACACCGGATCATACTACCTTCACCCCATAATGATAATCCACCCAGTCTTCTACCCATTCAGCATCTGCTGTCCCACCTGTCAGAAGGCATCTGATACGCCTGAATCCCTTCATGATCTTACCAATAACGAAGAGCTCGCTCCCGAACAATGGAACACAGATGGTCCTCATCGTGTCCATGGTGTTGATGAAGAGGAATTTGCCCTTGGGCTGCAGCTCAAGTGCAAAGTCTGCAAAGCAACCCGAAATATGATGAAATGATCCTCAGGCATCAGTGGGCTTGGACCTAAAGCCAAAAAGACCAGTGTCACGTTCAACCTGACCAGCATTGACTACTGGGAAGGTATTCCCCACTGGGAGATCCCAGGTGCATATCCCACTTCCACTTCCCATCCCTTCCCTGCTACCTGCCAACTTGCCTGCCACTGACATCAGCAAACTTGGTAGGGAGCTCTCAGAGCTCACAGAGCTCTGTGAGCAAATTGAGTCTTTTTGCTTGTGCACCCTCTACACATTGGTGTCAGGGCACACCCGCCTGACCCTGCGCCCCGCGCCGCACTGCCCTACTCCGCTTCCCCCGCCATCACCCCCCGCCCCTCCTTCCTCACTTTTCCCCTTTCTCTCTATTTTCTATTCTATGGTCGATTTCCCTTTTCTCCATGTACCACTACGTACCTAACCCCATTCCCCTGATCGCCGCACGCGCCGCACACACTCCTGCCTACCGAGCAGCTACCTCCGGGATCTCCTGCAGAGACACCCGGGAAGGTGCGGCTGTGCATGGAGATGATGTGGCCTCCTCCACGTGACCCTGACAGCATGTATATAATAGCGCCTGGGGTGGGAACAGAAGAAGCAGCCTTCTTCTCAACTTCCCACTTCAGGTAAGTACCATAGCTTTTGCCTTTTAATGATAAACCAACTTCCCACTTCAGCCTAAGTGGTTGGGGATGCTCACCCCGTGACGGGACCACCGCTACACATAGCCGACACCTGTCCCATCGAGTCCCTCATGCTGGGACCTTGCTGCTTTCGGAGCTGTCCCTGACAATTGGGTGGAGAAAATTAAATGTTTGAATGATTTTGTTCTCCTAAGGATGCAGAAGTGCAAAGATAATATGGATATATGTGTGTGTAAAATGGCCATTGTCATTGCTCTGAAAGCTCATATACCTTTTGTGTTTACTAAAATCAGCACCTTATTTGTTTATTGCTATTTACAAAAATATGAGAACTCTGAAATTCAAAAATTTGCACTTTATCTTTCATCTCATTTCTTGCTCAAAACTCAACCAATTTTGATGATTCTATGTGAATTGGAAAGCACCAAAGTGTGGCAATGTAACCATGCATGTTATGTAGGGTATAAATCAGTTTTAAAAAAGTGTTCCAAATGAAGTAAATTAAAAATACCACCCAATAAAGCAAACAAAAAGCTGATGCATTCTTCAGATATCATCCAAGCCTTTGACACCAAATTTCCCCTGGTCCAAAAGCCATGGTTATTTGGCTCACCAAAACATGGTGGGAGACTTTTCTAACACTGAAACATACATTGCTACATTGCCCCACTTTGGCACTTTCAATACACATTGAATTATCAAAAAAGTGATTTAATTTCTTTTCCAATTATTCCTAATTTCCTGAAATACAATGTATCTCTCCCTAACTTATCCCAAATTTTCTGATTTTCCCCCTAATTTCCCCTGATTTTTTGGACATTCTCCATTTTTAGAAAGTCCCCCATTTTCTGAATTTTCCTTAATTTTCCCTGACTTTTTAGAAACCCCCCAGTTCCCCCTCATTTTCCTCCCATTTTCCCCTTCATCCCCCCCCTCAATTTCCCCCCCAATTCCCTCTGCAATTTCCCCCCCATCCCCCCCTTCGATTTTCCCCTCATTCCCCCCCATTCCCCCCTTCAAATTTCCCCCTTCAAATTTCCCCTCATTCCCCCCATTTCCCCCCTCAATTTTTCCCTCATTCCCCACCTCATTCCCCCCCCCCCCCCCCCCCCAATTCCCACCTCAATTTCCCCCCTCCAAATCCCCCCCCCCCATTCCCTCCCAATTTCCCCCTTCGAATTTCCCCCATTCCCCCCCCATTCCTTTCCAATTTCCCCCTCATTTCCCCCCCCCCCATTCCCCCCTCAATTCCCTCCTCAATTTTCCCCCATTTTCCCCCCATTCTCCCCTCTAAATTTCCCCCTTCAATTTTCCCCTCATTTCCCCCCCATTCCCCCTCCAAATTTCCCCCATTCCCCCCTTCAAATTTCCCTTCATTCCCCCCTCATTCCCCAATTCCCTCCTCAATTTCCCCCCCATTCCCCCCCTCAGATTTCCCCTCATTTTCCCCCCCATTTCTCCACTCATTTTCCTGCATTTTCCTTAAGTAATTTCAGATTAACTGTATATGTATATCCCTAAATTTGGTCTATATATTAATTGGCTATATACCCTTGGTGTGTAGTGCTGCATTGGGGGCTGAAAGTTAAGCTCAGTTTGTTCAGTTTCCTGCATGGTAGGGACTTGGCTGTGACTCATCACATGATGCCAGAGTCAATGCTCTTAAATTTTAATTTTGATATTGGATAAATTAAACACTCAGGGAGCTCATATAGATAATAGTCCCCTGTGTGCAAATATAGCTCTATGAGCTTTGACTACTTTGGGGAGCTCTGAGAGAAGGGGACCTGCAATTTCAAAGTACTGAAACTCTGAGGGCTCTGAGAGCTCTATGAGCTCTATGAGCTCTCAGGCCTCCGCATCCAGGTTTGCTGATGGATCTTGGACTCCCAAAATAGGTGGGCTTCCCCTATTCATGAGTAGGAGCACCGTGTCAGGGCATACACCCTGACCTAGCCCATACCCACATCCACACCCACACTCACACCCACACCCATGCCCATGGCTGGCTGTTGTGCTTCCCATGTGCACCCTGTGCTGGACGCTCCATGCAGCCGGATGCCCCGGGCCCCGGGTCTCGGGTCTCATGTGACTTCTGGATATCTCTGGAAGTTTTTGATCTATTGTGGCCACTGTGGGAAGATGAGAAGTTAACTTCCTTCTCATCTCTGACCCACAGTAGGATTGTGCCCTGGATAGGGCTGGCCAGACTTGAGGCTGTGGGCCATAGGGGAGGGTCATGGGGACCTGGGAGTCGTCCCCTGACATGCTGTCACACAGGACCTTTTTCATGACATCATTGAGCACCACATGCAGACCACCACTCTCAGTTTGCACAAAATCTATTGCCATGAGTGTACAGTACTTTCTCCTCTTTCAATGGTCCACCTCTCTGATGGCCATTGGCCATTCCCCATTCCCCAGAGAAGCACACACTTAAATACCATTTAGCCCATCAGGCATATCTCCAGGCAAAAACAGGTGAGTCAAATCTGATATCCCCAACAGGACACAACAGCCGCACAAAGACTTTCCAGACAACCTTGAACTTCGTGTCTGGCTCAACCTGCATAGGATTCAACAACCCAACCAAGGAATATCGGTTGTTAGTACTGTTTTCCAGCATTCACGACCCAAACGGTTACAATGATTCAGTAATCTCGAACAACTCCATACATGCCATCTATGAGCTCTACACCCAGAACTGTCGATTGCATGAATCAACATTGATGATGTGTTCCATTCTTGGTTAAGTATATTTCCATTCACAAAATGGGCAACTGGTTGACATGCTGTATTTGCATTCTAGGTGACATACTCTCCATCGATCATACGATGAGGACTGCCACCAAGGCAGTTATGGTTGATAAATCTCATCAACGTATCTCTGCAGTTTTCCAGGTTATCAATGAGGAGTCAAGGATTCTTGCTTGGGTGAGCGTCAAGCTTAATACTTTACCATCAGACTAACCCACGATGCTGCTTTAGCGATTCTGCCAATCTGGGAGCTTCCAGGAGATCAAAGAAGTATTGACTGGTTTGAAATCTCACTACAACACAGCAGGAAAGGATGGCCCTGGCATGCTAATTTCAGACAACTGTTGCGCCATCTGGAATGTGGTCCTTGAAGTTTTCCCTGAGACTCACGTTGCTCTCGACCTTTGACACTTCATGATGTGGTGAATCATTCTATTCTCATATCAGCTGTCGCTGACTTCCAGTTATGTTTATATAGATATCTCACAACCATCCTTGATGGTCCATGAAACCCCCACTAGCAGATGTGTGGAACGACATCGTAAACACGATAATCTCAAAACCAGCGGATAAGACAAAACACCAAATTACATCATTTCGACTTCAGCACTGGCAAGTGAAGGCAATTCAAGAAATGTACCAGAGGTGGCTTTCATGCAGCTCTGTGTGGAGCCAAGCATGTGAAAAGGTATGTCCAAGTTGACTTGATTTTCCAGTCACACTCCACTCACACCAGGTAGGTGCATGAGGCTCAGTTGGAGCACGTCCAAAAGGGCTGTCTGATGAGAACCAAGACCAGCATTAAGGCTGACAGTGGTCACATCAAACGCTCACACATAGCTTAGAATGGGCTGCAGCAGGGTTACACATCATGATGAATGCCCTTGGACATGATCACATACTCCACTGGAACTTGGTGCGAATGTCATCCACAACCCAATTGACAGCCTTGGTGCCAGAACCCCCCACCTTTGTTCAGAGCTGTTTTGGCTCTTCACATGTGAGCCTTGTCAATGCGAACGCCGGTGCCTGGAACCACCTTTTAGAAAGATGCCCATCCCTCCTCCACCCCTCTCCACTTCCTTGCCTGGAACTGTCATATCCGTGCATACCCGACCCCAACCCGACTTCCGGACCTCCACCCTCTTCACCTCTGGAGTCATACCCTACCATTGCCATTCCAATACTCACCTTCGGTCCTGGCAACACACCTCCTTCTACCCCCACGCCACCTCTACTCCTCCTTCCCTCTCCTCCCTATCTCCGTCCACTCCAATACTCACCTCAGACCAAACACCGCCCCTCTCGCCACCCTCCTACTTCTCCTCCTCCTACTCCGCTCCTCCTTCACAACACCTCCACCCTCCCACCACCCTCCTACACTTCCCCCGTCCACTCCAATACTCACCTTCGGACCTGATAACTCTCCTTTCTGCCACTCCTTCTCCCTTACCTTTCTCCCCTCTCCTCCCTCTGGTACTCCTCTGCCAGTCTCCTGCCAAGTTACAACCTTCCACCGCTGTCCCATACTTCATACTCGGACACCGCTCGTACCTTTGCTCCAAGCCTCCATCATAGTCCCTACCTCGGACTTTGACTCCACCTCGGTCTTAGTCCATTGCATTGGTGACCTCATACTATGTAAACACCATTGCCAATATCCCTCGGACTTTCAACCCTGCCTCCGTAACCTCCGTAACCTCCGCAAACTCCGAGCTTCACAGATCGCCTTTGGCACTTTCGCCACTTGTAATGTATCTCTCGCATTTTCCCCTCATCCCTATTTGGACTACTGCTTCTTCCCATTCTAGCCAGTTAGTCATCACCCCCACTTCTCCTCATCCTCCTGCCCCTCTGGGCCTCGCCCTCCCTACCTCCTTTTGGACGTATCACAGGTCCTGCCTTATGACCTTCGGTACCGCTCTGCTTCTTTTACCCTTTGTTCCCATTTGGACATCTTTGTTCCGATTCGGTCTCCCTTTGTTTCCTTGTGCTTTTGCCCCCTCCATTATATATATCAGCGCTTGTACATACTCATTTTGGTTCAGTCTGAAATCGACCTGAAATGCCCCCTAGAGACTTCCTGCTCACCTACTGTGAAATTAAGGACCAAATGGACAAACAGCAATGGCACAGTGCTCCGCTTGAGTCGCTGAGGCCAAGGTCCCTCCACACTAAGTCTCCAATTCCACTCCGGAGTCGTCTGTATCCGCCCGGTTCTAACAGGAACCATATGCAACCGATGAAACCTTTGGAGTTAACCATGCACTCTCCACCCTGCCAGTCACAATCAAGTCTGAGGAAAACAAAGTATTGATGGGGGATCGCAAGCAGTTGGGCCTTGATCCCAACCCCCCAATGGACAATGATATTCAGCAAATGATGATCAATGATCTGGCCATGCAGTTGGATGTGAAGATGTTTGACCAACCTCTGACTCGCATACCCAACCCACCATGACCATCAACTTCCTCGCTACCATGCCTGCAACCCTCACTCATAGACCTGGAACCCAAGGACACTCTTGCCCCATTCTCATCGCAGCCAATGACAATTGATGCCGATGTGGAGTCGGATGACAATGCTGTCCTTCAGATTATAGATTATGATATCTCCATGACTGCCTTGCCATTTCTACCACAAACACCCTTCCAGCTGCCCACTCCTGGCCCTTGCATGGAGTCCAATCCAACCCAGCCCCTGATAATGCCTCAGAAGTGCAAGGCTGCCGACCTGGACTTGGAGGATTCACAAGACCTGGGAAAGAAATGGCTACAGGTGTGCACCTGTCCCATCCCCTTCCTCCCCTCCCATTCATGTGGTGCTGGGAATTTACTAACCCAACTGCTCAGGCTTCACCTCTGGGACCCTTGTGTGCATGCACATCATCCAGCATGACAAGTGTTCAACCAGAGGAACCAGTGCTGACCAGGTCACAGTGATTCCTTGAGGAGAACACCAATCTATCATCGTCACTATTGTCCCTCAAAAAAGGTGACAAAGAATGGTTCACCTTTGTGAAACTAAGGAACAAGCACCAATGGACTTACAGCTCCCTCACAGGCACAGCCCTCCAGTCAGCCACAAACATTCTGAATGGAGAGATTGAAACCCCGAAGTCATCGCATGCTGTGCATCAGTGCCTCAAAGATCTCGAAACCGAAGTCGTACGAAGGATCTCCTCTAAGGATTACACCAGTGCATCCTCATTCATGATTCACGATTCTATCTAATAACACCCTTCCCATTCACATAGCATTCAATTCAGAAAAAAAACAGAAGCAATTCTCCCATTGGTGGAAGGAGACATGCGATGCTGTGCCCGGGCTCATGGTAAGTGAGCCTTGTTGTCTCCTCCCACCATCAACATCACTCAACAACTAATCAGCTGCTTGGTGGTAAACACTGCCATTGGTGTCGCAGGATGAAAACTGGAAAATTGAGGGTACCTCATGCTAGGACTACATGTTCAGATGGGTTCCTCTCCATCCATAAGGAGGTGCCATACCCGCTGCCTAGTGGACTTGTCATAAAGGACTCTGGATGCGGAACACCCGGTGACCTTGTGCCAGAGGAGTTTTCCACTGTTGCAACCTGAACATTGATCAAACACAACACCACGATAGCCTGACACCTGAGGAGGCTTGCTTGCTTGGATGGATGCAATCCCAGATCTTCAGACACAAAAAAGTTGGTGACGCCAAATGGTGTGTTTTTCCGATTGGGAAAATCCCAATAGTGGGGGGTGATGGAGGCTGTCAGCATTTGATTATGATTGATGGCTGCTGCCACCTTTGCATTTTCAAGGCAGTCTAGTCTAATTTTCTCCTTGTTTCTTTCTCATTTTTCCATATCATGTACTTGTGGGTTAGGGTGGGTGGGATTTTATGCAATGAATCTTATTTACATTTCCTGTTAAAACACGAATGGTATTTCCTTCCCTGAAAATGTGGAGTAGAGTAGCGCTGAAATGAATGAGCTGTCATTTTTCAACAATGCATTCTTATCATTTGAGATCGAGATCAAAAGTGTGGGACCTAAGCTCCATCATGCCTGCTCACTTATGTGCTTGAAAACTTCGTGCCCTGCTGAATTACCACCTACCATCTCTCTCTCAGCTTCCAAGAAATCATGCTTGGTTTTACTTTTTACTTGAATGTCTAGGATTGACACTACAAGCATCACCAATCAAGTCTCAACCCTTTCCACCGGTGTAGGAGAAATAACGGCCACGCTATGGAAACCCATTATGGAAAAATGCCAGATAAATCACAAAACCTCATACGACAAGTAGATATGAGAAAATAGAAGGACCCGAATTTTAACGAATTTGACGAATTTTTATGAATTATTATGACTATACATGATAAATCGAAAGAAAGAAAAATAGCAAAAATACTTCAAGCTCACCATCAATGAGACGGAATTCTCAGGGGAATTTATAGCAAATATTAAACCAAGAATTAGGACAATCGACCAAGATTTGACTATAAAAATAACCAGAGAACCTCCGTGGAAACTACTTTCCTGTCAGAGACCAGACTTGAGACGAAGGAATGTCTCCGTAACGGAGGGCTTTGGCCTCAGCGACTTCTGCCAAGAGCGCTGTGCCTAGTGACATGTCCGTGCCCTAACTTACTGACTGGCACTTAGAACCTAGGGGGGTAACTCTAGTTGATTTATCTGCTGGGGCGTAACCTATGTACAAGTGGTGTATATATATGGTTACAGCGGAGATGGTTCCGCAATTGGCGGAGCCGAACGGAGCGGAGCTAACGGGGTTAAGACATTAGCCGACTGAATATTACCGACGAGTCGGTTCGCGGGGTTAGCGGAAAGGCAGGCGTTAACCCAGAAACGGAAAGGAGGGATAGGCCCGAAGGTGGGCTCTGCAGGGCAGGTGAGTGTATTGCCCAGCGGAGGCGGGAGTGCGCTAGCGGACGTCGGAGCTGTCCGGAAGTCTTCGGGGCTCCGTACTTAGGGAGGCATAGGTAATAAATTGAAATGAGGGGGTGGTGACCATCGAGGGTACCAAGAGGTTTGCGGAATACGGGGGCTCCGAGGTTGGTGAGGGGGAGCGGAGTTAGAATGGAGGGATCGGAGAGACCGGAAGTCGATGGCCGGGGATGGATATGACATTTCCCATGTCTGCACATGTAGCCAAGGATGGAAGTACCACGGAACAAAGATTCCTCAGGAACTAATGCAAAAGTCAAAGTCGTGTTTATAATAGGAAATGTAGATGTCCCCAAAAGGAACCAATGAGAGTAATTACAGGGGACACTACCCATAAACGATGGAGATATGACTAAAACTCCTGCAAAATGAGGACAATGTCTAAAAGGCAAGCACGAAGATTAACTAGTAATGACGGAGACAAGCTTGATAGCCCATTAGAAAGGAAGGGATCTAAACTTAATCTTCCCAAAGTTTCATAATAAAAGGATCATGTGTTAATGAGATATCCAATAACGGGAATAGCAACATCAAAAGTCCGAGCTCAGGGAAAAGATGATGTTTGCATAGGATCCATAATTAAAACATACAACTAAATTTACACAGAAATTATTAAAAATGGGGAACTATAGTTATGCAAATTTTCAGCCCAAACGGTCCAGCCGTTGTGAAGTTATACCCATGACGGGAATATAGAAATCTGCATCATGTGTAATGACACGTGAGGGTGGTGATGCGCAGGGAACCGGCCATCGGAACCGAGATCCACACTTCGGCAGATCGCAAAGACCAATTTCCATCCAAATAAGGAAGAGCCTGGTCAAAACAAAGCACGGAAAGTGCAAAACAACCTTAGATCATGAGGGAAAAATCTGAAATAAATCACAGAAGCCCATATGAAAGAAATAAACACCCACACATATCATAAATCCCGAACAATTAAACGACAACGGCTCCCGCATACGAACGACTATGGGAACGACACACGTGATTACCGAATGTGCATGCGAATCTTTGCTAACTCAACGAATACCAGGAAATAGGACACAATCTTAGTACCATTGGAAAGGTGGGAATAAATAAAAATTTATGATACCAAGAACGTGAGAAAACATCCAGAAATGAATGAGATACAAGGACCTGAAGTTAGAAACCTGAAAATGCGTGGGAAGACAGCTTCAAGAGGTCCAGAGTCCTAAATAAAATAGATAAAAATATGATATCTTCAAGGACAACCTACTATAACAACCAACAATACATATGGAGGATTAGGATGTGATAATACAAAAGGGAATCAGGGAATATGAACGAAATTCACGAAAACCACTAAACTACGACAGACCATGGCAGGAATTTTAGGGAACGATGTTCTAATGAAGTGGAGAGCTATAACACATTCATTTGAGTAATTCTTGACTACTAGCAACTTTTTCTTTCAGTTTTAAACCTGAATAATTCACTCATTTATCATTTCAGTCTCATTTTAACTAAATGTCACTAAATAAAAATGGAATAAATCAGCTGAAGGTCTCAGCACAGCCGTATGCATAGTAATGCGAAGTTTGAATTCAGAATCATCGAGTCATAGCAAATTTAATGGTATATATAGGGAATTTGAAATAGGTAACTGCAACAAATACAGCGCAGTCAAGTTCCAATTAACCATTAAAATAGCTTAGGCGAGGGAGGACAATAAGAATTCTAGGCGCAGTCTGACCGCAGTAGAACTGCAGTTCAGCGCAGCATAAGTGCAGTAGAACTATAGCATGAAAATTTCATTTTTTATTCAGTTTGAGAAAAATACACTGTAAATAAATCCTGTAAATAGAAGGTAGAGCATGAAAAAGGAAGGTGACCCAAGGAGTATAAAAGGGAGACCCTTTCTGCGACTTTTTGCCCCCCTTAGAGAAGTAAGAAAATAGAGTATTATTTTTCTCAAGCATTTCTGGTTGTCACTCCAGTGCGAAAAAGTGATATACAATTAAGATTGCCACTGTAGTAAAAGGCAGCAATAAAGGAGAGAAATATTAAGTAGATATTTCAACAGGAGAGCTGGTTAACACTCCAGATTTCAAAGTGTAAACACAAAACAGTTATTTTGCTACTGTTAAAACAAGCAATAAAATAAGACAAAAATAAAACAAACTCAAGCGACACTCCAAACACAATCCAAATCCATTAACTGATTAGAATCTTTGAAACTTCACCAAGTAGAAGATTAAATCCAAATTAAAACAACGCTACACAGAATTACACCTAGACAAATTAAGAAATTTCAATAAAGAAACAGCTCTGCAGGGCTCGGTTTATCTGTAAGTCAATTCCCAGGAACTTTAAAACTAACCCATAAAAATTAGAATTAGCCAAAACACTCGGATTGGTACTATATTTACAATAAATAACACTAGTACACTTCCCCATCCTAACTAAAGAACCAGGGAACAGCTTGGTGGTGGTCTCGTTTGAACCTCCCAACTGACCTTCCTTCATTCTCTCCTTCACCGGACATCCATCTCTAATCCAAGGCTTCAATAGGACATTTCTCCCATCGCAAAGGTACCTGGAACATCTGTGTAGGATCGACCCTCCAAGTGCCATGGATTGAGTCTCAACTCTGCTCGTTATCGCAGATTTACTTGGCAGGTGTCATTGATTGAGTTTTAACACATTTCTTCCCACTCATTATCGCAAATTTACCTGGAATGTCTATATAGGATTAATGCTCTGGGTGTCACTGATCGAGTCTCGACCCTTTTCACTGGTCACCCATCTCTGATAAGTTCGAGGCTCCAGTACTGCATTTCTCCCCACTCGTTATCACAAAGGTACCTGGAACGTCTATATAGGATCAACACTCCAGGTGTCATCGATTGAGTCTCAACCCTTTTCACTAGTCATCCGTCTCTAGTTTCAGGCTTCACTACTACATTTCTCCCAGACTCCTTCCCAGTCGCTCACATGATTTCTCCGAGGTTTAGCCGCAACTTACGTTGCCTCCAAAATCTGTTGAGCGACTGGTACAACTTGCAACACGTGATGTTCCCATGCTAAGTTGTAATGAGTTGTACATAGGTTATGGAATATAATTTTTAGTATTTACGCATGCGGTCATCGTACCCAACCCAACCCGTGGAGACTAAGGGAGCACATCCAAGGTTGTGGGGTTAATATCCGGGTGTGCGCGAAGTTTAAAAGTTTATATATTACTTAGTTGCCAGTCACTTGTTTGTGCCCGGTGGCGTAAGTGGTGCAGCGCTAGCTGAGGCTATGCAGTTTTTTTAAGTGGCATATGTTCGATTCTCACTTAGGAAACTTTTTTTTTTCATTCCCTCCACTCCTTAGTGCACAGAAAACAACCATTTCACACAATTATTCCATGGGAGGGCCCGAAAAAAGTTTTCCTAAGTGAGAATCGAACATGTGCCACTTAAAAAAACTGCATAGCCTCAGCTAGCGCTGCACCACTTATGCCACCAGGCACAAACAAGTGACTGGCAACTAAGTAATATATAAACTCTTAAACTTCGCGCACACCCGGATATTAACCCCACAACCTTGGATGTGCTCCCTTAGTCTCCACGGGTTGGGTTGGGTACAATGACTGCATGCATAAATACTAAAAATTATATTCCGTAACCTATG